TATCTACGTGTCGACGGTTCTAGAACCTACAGTATCTACGTGTCGACGGTTCTAGAACCTACAGTATCTACGTGTCGACAGTTCTAGAACCTACAGTATCTACCCACTAAGTGTCGACAGTTCTAGAACCTACAGTATCTACGAGTCGACAGTTCTAGAACCTACAGTATCTACGTGTCGACGGTTCTAGAACCTACAGTATCTACGTGTCGACAGTTCTAGAACCTACAGTATCTACCCACTAAGTGTCGACAGTTCTAGAACCTACAGTATCTACGAGTCGACAGTTCTAGAACCTACAGTATCTACGTGTCGACGGTTCTAGAACCTACAGTATCTACCCACTAAGTGTCGACAGTTTTAGAACCTACAGTAACTACGAGTCGACAGTTCTAGAACCTATAGTGTCTACGTGTCGACAGTTCTAGAACCTACAATGTGTACGTTTCGACGATTCTAGAAGTTGTAGTATCAACATTTGACGGTTCTTGAACCTACAGTATCAATGTGACGTCGGCGGCCTTGTGGTTAAGCTACCGGACTCGTAACCGTGAGATTGCGGGTTCGGGGGTTTGAGCCGCGGGCCCGACCTTGTGTCCTTGGGGAAGGCACTTTACGAGAATTTTCCTCCCTTCACCCAGGTGGGATAGGTATCCGGCCATAGACAGTGGAAGATCTTGTTAGTATGTTAGTGTTTTAGCGCCTATAAATGGTTGCTTGCATTGTATGCTTTCCAGGAAGTTGAGGTTGTTTCAAGATGATCCCAGGTCTGCTGGGGTAATAGTATAAATTGTGAAGCGCACAGAGCTTGCTGTTGAGCGGGGATTTGCGCTATACAAATGCTATCTATCATTATTATTACTACTACGTGTCGACTGTTCTAGAACCTCCAATATATAAGTGTTGACGGATCCAGAACATGAAACAGATGTCTATGTCACTGTGTCCAACTGATCAAATTGCCCACATCAGCATCCTGGGTGTTTATCCTACAATTTTTGTCAGTTTTTTGACTCACTCGAATACAAGTTAGAATTTGCAAGCAAACAAATTACTTTCGTCTACCTTTGCATGATTTTTTAGAGCCACCTCACATACAAACATACCTCCCCACCCCTCATACACACACACATACACACACACACACACACACACACACACACACACACACATACACACACACACACACACACCTGCACACACACACAAGAACACCTCCCCCCACCTCCACCCTTAAACGCCTTCACCGTTAAGAAAACACACGAATAGATCTATATTTCTTCTCCTTCTTTCTTTCTCTCATGTTCCTCTCTTATCTTTTCATTTTTTCTCACTTTTTAAAGACCTATATTTTTTTTTTACCTTTTTTCCGCATAACACGAGAACAGCTAAAACAACAACAGGTTTGAGAAGGAAATCACTTGCTGTGTCCCCACCCTCTCCCTCTACACACTTCTACCGGCACTCCCTCACATACACTTGCACACACAC